TTAAATTTTAAAAATACAAAAATTAGCCAGGCATGGTGGCACAAGCCTGTAATCCCAGCTACTTGAGAGGCTCAGGTGGGAGAATCACTTGAACCTGGGAGGCGGAAGCTGCAGTGAGCCGAGATCACACCACCCTACTCCAACCTGGGCAACAGAGCAAGATTCCACCTCACAAAAGAAAAAGAAAAAAGAAAGAATGTGGTGTTTTAGTCACAAACTAGGAGTTCTCAGAGTCCTACTTATTGGAAAACTCACACATACACTGGGGAGAGGGGAATGGTGCTTCGGCTGAGCTCTAAAAAGCAGTAATTTTTCATTTAGAAAAGAACATTGTATGAGTAGAAGACAAGTCATTATGATATTTAACTCAGGAACAGTCTTATTTCATATCCTGGCAGGACTCAAGGGGGCAGAACCTGAAATGAAGGATAAAGGAGAGAAACAAAAGCTCTCTGAAGTTTAACTTGTGGTTCGTCCTTTCCGTCCAAACAGAGCTGGGTGCCTGGGAGGCCTTCCTTTTTCTGTTCTACATCACTCTTTCCTTTGCTATCTGTTCCCTAATATACATATACTCCTACCTCTATACCTACCCCACCTTCACCCCCAAGCCTGAGGCTGTAGCCTGTCAAGGCCCTTCAATGTCACAGCCAGTGACACCACCTTTCTTATGAGCCGATGACAAAAAGTAACTTGTCCCTTGCTCCATGCTGAACCCACAAGAATGAATCCACAGTTATTTGTGCCTTATGGTTAGGCCTTACAGAGTCTTAGAACCTAAACAGATATATCTCTTGCTAATATTGAATGTCTCATACAGCATAAATTTGAGGTTTCATTATGCGAAAAGGCCCTACCAACAATGCTGATACAAAGCAAGCAAAAATAAGAGGGGGACTAAGAACCCGGTCCTGCCACAAATGGACAGTCACAACTCTACGACAGAGCAGCAACCTTGCAAATGTAGGAGTCAAGGAAATACTTCCCTTCCTTCTGGTAAGTTTAGACTGTATCATCTCTGAGAATTAATATTTGTCCTTGGGATATTTAGGTGGACATCCAAGTAAAGAGTTACCAGCTAGACACTTGGAAGACTAAGGAGACTCTGCAAGTCACCTGATAAGGAGAACTTGAACTTGAATGGGAACAGACGTAAGTATGCCTATCCTGAGCTGCTCTGCAAAACTTGGCGTGCCAAGGCCACTGTGAACTATCCTATTAGGAGCGTCTGTGGCATTATTCTAGAATGAATGACTTCGACTTGAGGAATGCAGTGCTGAAGAAACATTGTCAGGGTATAGGGAAGGATTCTAAGGCAAGAACAACTCTTATGAATGAGGTTGCCATTTCTCAGAAGATAGGTAGGAGTCACCCAGTAGAGCGGAAAGAGGAGTGGATTAGAACTGGTAACACCCAGTGAGGGGAGCCCCATAAAGTGCTTAACTTTGTGGTGGCTCGTGCCTGTAATCCCAGTACTTTGGGAGTCCAAAGTAGGTAGATCACTTAAGGTCAGGAGTTTGAGACCAGCCTGGTCAATGTAGCAAAACCCCGTCCCTAACAAAAATACAAAAAAATTAGCCAGACTTGGTGGCACATGCCTGTAGTCCCAGCTACTCAGGAGGCTGAGGCACCTGGGAGGCAGAGGTTGCGGTGAGCCGAGATCATGCCACTGCACTCGGGCTTGGGCGACACAGTGAGACTCTGTCTCAAGAAAAAAAAATTTTTTTAACTCCTTAGTGCTGTCTCTTGGAGTATGGGAGAAGTCATATTAGCATAAAGTTTAAAATTTTTCTTTTCAAAACTGGAATTCCCTTTAGTTACCCCAAATGTATAATAAAATCTGGTAATCTCATACATGCTCTCATGGTCTTGTGAAGCAACCAGGCTATAAAGCAAAAGGTAGTTTACCCCATACTCACCACCTCATGGGGGTTTACACAGGGCCCAGCATCTATCAAAGAGATGGTTCTAGAATATGGCCATCAAGAAAGGGAGCTGTCATGCCCATCGAACTTGGAAATGATGAAGAGAAGCACCGGATACTGGCCACTAAGAGCCAGCTTCCCAGCTCAAGAGCAGCCTGATTTAAACCCTCCATGGGAGGCCAGCTGAAGAATACACCACAAATCTCTACTTGAGACTAATTTGGTAAATTTATTTTCTTAAATCCATTTCATCTAGATTTTAAAAATCATTGACATAGTTACACAAATGGCTCTCTACAATTATTTTAATTTCCTCTGTATTATGGCTACTTTCCGTGCATCATTCCCAAACTTTTATAGATTTCTTTTCTCTTTTTAAAATTGATTTGGCTTACTAACAGTTTATTTTATTAATTTTGTTTTCTGTATGTATTTCTACCCTTCCTACCCCTGCCAGACACATACACAATAACTGATTTTTTTAATCAATTTTATACAAGTTTCTAACTTACTATATTTTCTCCTCATCATTTTAAAATTCTCACCTCCTTTTATTCTCATCTTTTTATAGCAAGTCGTTTGAAGATAAATGAATAGGAAATTTGTGTTTAATCTTCTTCATTTAAGTAATCAAAATGTTTAAGACTAGGAATTTTCCTTGAGTTATACTTGGTCATACATCACAGATTTTGCTCATAATATTCCCACTATCACTGTTTTCAACGCATTCTTATATCGCAGAGCTGAAATTCCCTCCAGAATTCAGAGTAAACAAGAAGAATTTTCTCCAAGAAGTTAAAGTATTTCTGTCTTCCATCTTTTGTTATTTATTTCAATTGTATTGTACTATGATCAGAAAATCCTGCCATAATAGATCGCCATTTCAAAACCTGTACTGAGTTTTGCTTTTTTATCAATATGGTCAATTTTTTTTGATGTTTCATGGGCATTTGAAAACAAAGTATATTTTCTATTCTCAAAGCGCTCTCTCTCTCTCTCTCTCTCTCTCTCTCTCTCTATCTGTGTGTGTGTGTGTGTGTGTGTGTGTGTGTGTGTGTCTGTGTGTGTGTGTGTTTCAATATAGATAGATAGGTATGACAACCTTATTAATTGTTTTGTTCTCCGAACACAACGTTAAGAGCTCAAGCCTGCTGTCAAGCAAACCTGGGTTCAACACTTTCCGTGCGATCTTGAGCATATCATTAACTGCTCCAAATCCATTATTATGGGTGTAAAATCCCAATAACTGCATAGCTTTGTACACATTCCTTTCTGATGTTTAATGGAGTCCAAATAGTGAGCCTGTAGGAATTCCTATTACAATCTCCTGTCTTCCATTAGACTCTAATGCCCCGAACTCCCAGAATCTTCTTACTCTTCTATGCCCATAAAAATTCTCTGGCTTGGCACAGTGGTTCACGCCTGTAATCTCAGCACTTTGGGAGGCCAAGGCGGGTGGATCACCTGAGGTCAGGAGTTTGAGACCAGCCTGACTAACATGGTGAAACCCCATCTCTACCAAAAATATAAAAAATACCTGGGTGTGGTGGTATGCACCTGTAATCCCGGCTACTCAGGAGGCTGAGGCAGGAGAATCACTTGAACTGGAAGCAGAGGTTGCAGTGAGCCAAGATCGCAGGATTGCACTTCAGCCTAAACAAGAGCAAAACTCTGGCTCAAAAAAAAAAAAAAAAGAAAAAAAAAACTTATGGAGTTTTCTTTTTTTTTTTTTTTTTTTTTTTTGAGATGGAGTCTCGTTCTGTCACCCAGGCACTGTTCTCGGCTCACTGCAACCTCCGCCTCCCGGGTTCAAGTAATTCTCGTGCCTCAGCCCCGGAGTAGCTAGGATTACAGGCACATGCCATCACATCCAGCTGATTTTTTATATTTTTGGTAGAGAAGGGGTTTCACCATGTTGGCCAGGAGAGTCTTGAACACCTGACCTAAAGTGATCCACCCACCTGGGCAAAGTGCTGGGATTACAGGCATGAGCCACTGTGCACAGCCAAATAATTCTGACATCTTGGGCTTCCCAAGCCCTCTGTCCTCTACTCATTCCCATCTCTAGGTGTCAAGCTCCAGACACAGGGCCTTGAGCTGTGTCTCTCATCCTGAGCGAATGCCACTTGTCTTCAGTCCTAGTGCTTGAGAATCCAGCCTCTGCTTTTCCCTATCCATTCCTTGTCTATTTTCTCCTCAAAGAACAGACAAAGTAGCAGAGAAAATTGTGACAAACTCTCCACATTAATAAAAGTGATCATAGCTATTTTTAAGTCTCATTATCTGCCTCACGTGTGTCAAACCTTAGAATTCCAACGAGGCACATAAGTCATCCAACCACCATAGTCAGTAGCACTCAGAAGGGGGAATTATACAAGGTTACAAAGCTGCTCGGTTAACTTGTCCCAGTGCAGTTTCCTCTCCACTATTTTATCTTGAACTTCTTGGGAATTTCCTGACTACATCATTTGTAATAGCTTCTTCTTAATGCACACAAATCAGTTCCCTTTAGTTTTTCCCTAAATTTCCTAGTTCAGTTGACCAGATTAAAAAAATATTTAGAAGGCTCTGCCTGCTATTGCTCCCTTCATCCCCCAGCTACCCAACTTTACAACCCCTCCTCGTTGCTTCAGAAAGGAGTAAATCCAGAGTGGACCTCATTGCAGAATCTGAGGAACACATTAGCTACTTCAGAAGAACAGAAACTCTTCACAGCATCAGGACTGGGAAGAGGTGGCTGAAGAAAAAGGAAAATCCTTGCACAAAGAACCACCTGATAGGCATGAAAGCCTACAATGAGAACCATCTCATCTAGGTCTTACCATCAAAAAGCATTTTATTTTCTCCCTCATGGAAACCACAAAGGTCTGAACCTGACCCAGAGCACCTATCTTTGTCTAATCATGGAAAGGGATCTTGACTTGGAACTGTCCAAGAGCTCAGACCAATCCAGTAGTGAGCGAATAGGTGGCCAGGGTGCCTACTGATGGGAGGAGCTCCTGAGCCCGCCCTGGAGGCCTCAGAGTTCAGGGGCCCACTCAGATGATGCCAGAAAGCAAGAGAGAGGAACTGGGGTTTGCGAACCTTGTGGCTTTGTCTGTTTCCTGTTTCAGCAAGGCTGTTGTACAAAAAGAAAGACGGTACCAAGAAGGGACGCATTAACGGGACCCAGACCTATGATTGAAAGTATGTGCTTTACCCATCTGCTGTCTTGCTCCATCTGAGACCACAGCCAAGATCTGCCTGCCCAGGAACTGGAATGCTTTCCTGAGTGGCTTGAGTTGGAGCCGGGGACTCGGAGGTAACAGAAGGAGGATGCTTTTGTGTCTAGGTTTGGGAACTCGGACTTGGGGGTGGGGCAGAAGACACTCTACCATCCCAGCTCCCCTGAGTGAAATGACTGTGGGTGGCATAGTTTAAGGGTGTTGGAGGGTTGGGTAACCAAGAAAGCATCCTGTGTTGGTTTCCTGTGGCGTTAGCCATGGCACAGGGTACAGCTTCCACCATTCCTCTGTTCCAGTAGACTAGACTAGATTTAGATTAGATTAGATTAGGAGTAAGCCAAATGACTTAGAGTTCAGGCTACCCAGTGATATGGGCATGAATTAAATGACCTTTTACAGTTTCCTTCAAAGCCCGGATCCCTGAACAGAAGGCTGCCTTCCCAGCAGCTTAGGTGAAGGCCCCTCTCCCCTCAGTTCACACTGAGAGCTCTGGGCTAAGAAGGCCAAACCATGCAGGAAGCCATTCATTGTCTCTGTTGCACACATGGCCAGGAAGTAGAAGCAGAGACTCTGAAAGGCATGACAAGCCACAGTCAGGTGAGAAGCCATGCCCTGTTCTCTCTCTGCAGCCTGAGAAACCAGGCTGAGCCTCCCCAGCCAGGAGCCCTTCTTCCTCCAAGCTCCAAGTGAACCCAATCATGCTGCCAGGAGGGAAATTTAGAGATGCCAGAAAGCCTGGGCAGTGGCCCAGTGATCTTTCTTTGAACCCTGCAAGGACCAGTTCCCTTTTCCTCAGCAGCCTATCCCTGTCAGCCATCCCACATGCCTTCTTGTTTTTAAGCAAGTCAGTAGGGTCCAGACATCCCGGAAACCTGAGTAGGGTTCTATGCAGCATGCCACACCACGTCCTAGCAGGTGCGGTAGCCCAGGCCTCTGGGAACACTCCCCTCTCTAAGGAGCCATTTTCCCTGCAGCTCCTTTCTTGGGTAAGAAGACCCAATGTCTGCCCCAAGGACGCAGACAGCAGCTGTGTTTCAGTGGACAAAGGTGGGTGGCCTGGGTGGAGAGCCCAGAGAGACTTCATCTCAGGCCCTGTCTTCCCCCCCATTGCCCTTTCCTCTTCAAGGCAAGAAGGTAGGAGGATTCTCAATGTTCTGCCTCTACTACAAAACCCGCGGGGAAGCTGGAGCCAAACAGGGAAGGGACCTCATACCCTATGTGTGATGCAGGCAGACCCCACCTCTTCCTTACCTTTCTGCTTGGTGTAATTAGGATGGCAATTATATCTAGACCACAGAGAAGCCCTTTCTCCTTATAGCCTAAACCCAGAGGTCAGACCTGGGGCCAGGATCCCCTCAATCTGGTAAACAATATACTCCAGAGAGAGTTGAGAGAGACATGACAGAAGTCATTCTTGGTCCTAGGAGTGCTACTTTGGCTTGGAGCCTTGGTCTTATACTACCAAGTCTTCAATATCCAACATTAGCATAACAAGGATAATATTTGGTTTTTGCCATTACTTTTAATGACAAAAACTGCAATTACTTTTGCACCAACCTAATAATAATACTTTATGTTTTTATTATTAAAAGCTAACATTTATTGTGTGCTACGTGCCAGGTGCATGGCCTGCATTTTTCATTTAATTCTTATAACCTACAAGGCAGGTTCTAGCCCCATTTTATAAATGAGGAGACTGGGGCTTAGAGAGATTTGGTAGCTTACCTAAAAACACACACAAGTCGTAGGTGACAGAGCCAGGGTATGAATCCACGCAGTGTGACTCCAAGAGCCAGGGCTCTCCACTGCAATCTATGGCAGAATAGCCCGGGGCTGTGGCTCAGGGATGCTGTGAGAGTAGGCGCTAGACATGGAGTTCGCATGCACATAATCCTGAGTCTCCTCCATTCAGTCATTTATAACAATGTACCTGGGTCTCTCAGATCCTTTTCTAGTCTTTAAATAAAGAAAGTGGCAGGGAGGAAGTCAAGGAACCACTCCCTATGCCTACTCCCACCCTTATCCAAGAAGTAGGAGTGGGGAGAAATGACTAAAGAAAGAAGAGAGCCATTCAGAATGGGTATGCAGTGGACAAACATGAACAACCTCACATTTCTGCTTGGAATCAATGCTGCCTGACACCAGAGTATGCCCCTCCAACCCTCAAGGGTCAGGCATTTGAGTGTCCATGGCTCGACCACCCAAAACTCCTCTCAGAGAAGAAGACTGCCCCACCCACGCCCCTGGGGAATGAGTGGTAGGATCACAGAGAAAACAAGAATCCTGCAGAGAATTCCCAACTCAGCCAGGATAGCAAAGTCCCAGTAAAGGGGCAGAGACACTGCTACCTGTTGAGTCTGTTTGGCCTATAAATAAACCCCGAGGGGTTAGAGCTAGCAAATGCCTGCTTGTTGTGGAAACTGAGATACCCTCCTCCCAGGGTGGTGGGTAATGAGGTCGTGGGAGGAAGAGAAGCAGCAGCAGCTGTGAGGGGGAGTCCCTCTTCCTTCATCAGTCCCTGGTCTGACTCCAGTGATCAGAGGAGGCAGAACACAGAATTTCCAGCACTCAGGATCCAACTCATCCAAGCCCAGCCCAACTCAGCAAAGCGACCAGAGGGTTCTAGGAGGATAAACTGCAGAAGGTAGGTGGGGGAAGAGTAGGAGAGAGAAAGGCACAGAGAAGGAAAAGGGGATTCTGGTCTGAGAGCTACATGAATACCAGGTAAGGCCACGCAGAGGAGCATCCTGCGGCCCCTGCACCAAGCCTGGCTCCCTGGCAACTTCTGGTTACTGTTTTTGTTTTGTTCCTTCTCTGTATGCAGCAGGTTTATTGACGTATAATTCATGTGTTGGTGGGTTTGGATGGCACAATCTGTGTCTGGGATAAGGAAAGCAGGCTTGGCACCAGACAGCCCTGACAGGGAGGTGACCCTAAAGAAATGGAACCCCTAGCTCCAAGAGTACTGGAACCAGATGCTCCAAAATGGCTTTTGGCCAGCAGTAAGCATGTGGCAGTAGTGATCGGATTTGATCTATCCCTGAAAGACAGAGCCCAGTCCTGAGCTTGAAGTGGGGGGCCCATGGACAATTGTCAGGATAGCAGGTTGGAGGAATTAGGATAGGGTTTCCCTCCTAAACCATGCCAGGTCCAGGCTCAGAAGCTAGTTGCTAAAAGTCAAGAAGAGAGCAGCAGGTGCTGGTCACAGGACTGGTCACCACCTGAGGGGGGTCTGGTTATCCCTCCAGATCTTGAGAAGTGTTACTCAACTATGTTAGTAACAACTTGGACCAAGACAGCAGTAAAGATACGGACTTTCCTTTTCAACTGGGGATGAGAGGGCAGAGGGACTCAACTTAGCTGTTTCTTTACACGTCTGGAAAATGAACACACAACTGCCATCTAAAAGCCTATAAGCTCATTGTGATTTTAATCAATTTCTCATGTTCCCCTTAGAAGCATGGTAAGATGTTCAGTCAAGGAGTAAATGGCAGCCACAGAGACCCTTTTACTTTACAAAGGGGAAACATTGGCTAGAGAAAAGCAGCAATTCGCCTTTATAAGGTTGTATTAGTTCATTAGAGACTGAGCCCAGGAGTTCTGACTCCCGGTTTGATACCACCATGTCCTCAGTTTTCCGCCCACATGGTTGGAAGTCTGTGCTATTTCTGCCCCCTGGTTTAGAGAGTCATTTTTCCGCCTGTCTTCTGACCCCTCCCCTTCTCCTCCCTCTTGGCATTTGGCAGATCCAGGCATCTATTCCAGGAACTGGAAGCCAAGTGCAACAGGTGCTCGGAGGTCATCATGATCAGCCCGGACCCCAGGCCCTCCCCTGGTTTGGCCCGGTGGGCTGAGAGCTATGAGGCCAAGTGTGAGCGCCGGCAAGAGACCCGTGAAAGCCGCCGCTGCCGCCCCAATGTGACCACTTGCCGCCAGGTGGGGAAGACGCTGAGGATCCAGCAGAGAGAGCAGCTCCAGGGAGCTCGACTGCAGCAGTTCTTCAGGAGAAGGAACCTGGAGTTAGAGGAGAAGGGCAAGGCACGGCGTCCCCAGGCCAGGGAGCAGGGGCCCTCCAGGCGGCCAGGCCAGGCGACTGTTCTCAAGGAGCTCTTGTCTTGTGCCAGCAGGATCTCTTCTTCCAGAGATCAGGTGGGCCGTGTCAAGGGACATAGTGCTCTGTGCTCTGGGACCCTCTGTGGACAAGGCGGGTGGGTGGGCTTAAGGTCACTAAAAAGTGATCTAAATTAAGTCCTTCTTCCTCAGTCATACAGTAAAGTTGCCAACCGCCACTTATTCAGAGATCTTTATTGTTGCATTTTTGTTTGTTTAGCTCTTTTTGTTCTGCACTTGACTTGCAGGAGAGAAAAAATAATAACAATTTTAAAAACAATTCCAGGCTAGGCATGTTGGCTCATACCTGTAATCCCAGCACTTTGGGAAGCCAAGGTAGGAGGATCACTTGAGGCCAGGAGTTTGAGACCAGCCTGAGCAACATAGCAAGACCCTCTCTCTAGCAAAAAATTTACAAATTAGCCAGGCATGGTGGTGCACACCTGTAACTAATCAGGAGGCAAAGATGGGAGAATACTTGAACCCAGGAGTTTGAAGCTTCAATAAGCTATGATCACACCACTGCACTCCAGTCTGGGCAACAGAGGGAGACCCTGTCTCTAAAAAAAACTTAAAATAAATAAAAATAATTCCAAAGCAAATACCTATATCAGCTCAAATTTAGGCATTACACACACATCTTCTACAACTATCTTACAGCATTCATTCACCCATCAGTCATCAAATATTTAATGAAAGCTTATTATGCCAAGTATACAAGCCAATCCTCTTGACACACACACAGACATATCTGTCCTCTTTTCTTCTGCAAGGCTGTTGTACCCACTCTTCTCTCTTTCTCTTGTGTCATTCCAATTCTATTAAATCACTCAGCTACAGCCTCATCTGGTCCAGGAAGCCTTTCCTGGCTTCTCCAGGCCACCTCTGCTGTCTTCTAAGATTGCATAACCCTTAGAGGGTCCATTAGTCTGGCCTGGAAAGGAAGAGTGTTGGCAAAAACCAGGGTATGCTGAGATGACCTCAGCAAGCAAACCATCTGTGTCTTCCTGTTGAGGTTGTGAGCATGTTGACAGCAGGAATGTGTCCACTATGTTCCGTGGAAATGCTTGGCATTGTGCCCTATCCAGAGTGGGTACTCCATCAGGGCTTCTTAACTAGTGGATATGTTATGCTCAATAGGAGATACTATTCAGATAAATGATCCCAGAGCCCAGTTGCAAAAGAAAGCAAACTGTATACTAAAGCAAAAAACTTCCCCACAACTACCCACTTCACCTAGTCTTCCCACAAAACCTCAACAATTTTCCAGCTATTACTAAGAGGAAGAAAGCTTTCCTTGAAATATCTTTCCTATTTCCGTAGGCATTGTCTATTCCAAATTCCTCACTACACAGATAGAAGACAGACCTAGAAAAGGTGGGTTCTGCACCCAGATCCCCTCACTCCCCACTCAAGACTAGTTCTCTTTCCACATTACCATGCTGGCTATATAAGCGGCTGAGACCAAAAGGGAGAGAGAGAGAGAAAAAACAACAACAACAACAACAACTAGGGATTCTAGAGGGAAAAACTGGAGAAAAGTCCAGCTCCGCATACGCCTGCCCAGAGGAGGACCGCACCTGCCAGTCAGGACAAGGATGTCAGGAGCAGAAGCCTGCGTGGCTCTGAAAGCTTGCGTGGGCAACTTTGTTTTTGTGGACCTGAAACATTGTCTTAGTCTGGGTTGCTATAAAGAATTACCATAGACTGAGTGGCTTAAATAACAGAAATTTATTTCTTACAATTCTGGAGTCTGGAGGTCCAAGACCACGAATCCTGCAGATTTGGGGTTTGAGAAGGGCACTCTTCCCAGTGTGCAGATGGCCTTCTCATTGTATCCTCACAAGGCAGAGAGCAGAGAGAGAAAGCAAGCTGTCTCAAGTCTCTTATAATGGCACTAATTCCATTCATGAGAGCTCCCCGCTCTGACCTAGTCACTTCTCAAAGGCTCCACCTCCTAACACTATCACATTGGGAGTTAGGATTTCAACACACAAATTTGGGCAGGGATAGGGGGCAAGTCCATCACAAACATGATGGTTGGTTCTTCCTTCTGAAATCATCAGGAGAATCTTTCAAGAGGCTCCAGGCAGTGGTTTTCAGCATTCCCCACTTGCCTTCCAGGTGGCAGGGACCAGCTCTGAGGTCTTTCCAGCCCAGCATCCACCTCCCTCAGGCATCCGCAGGGATCTGACTGACCACCTCTCCTCACAGGCTGGGGGCCTTCCTCCACAGGACCCTCCCATCAAGAAGCCACCCAAACATCACCGTGGTAAGAGCAGAGCCTCCCTTACTCCACAGGGCCTGCAGAGAATCCTGTGACAGCTATCCCAGCTCACTGGCAATGGAGAGTCCCTGTCCCTCCCCACTTCCTTCACTTCCTCCCCATAGGTTCTAAATCACCTTATCCTCCATCTCTCAGGTACTCAGACAAAGGCAGAAGGACCAACAATTAAGAACGATGCCAGTCAGCAAACCAAGTGAGTTCCTGACCCTAACCCTCTCGTATCCCATCCATTCCTCTCTAGAGCGAACACAATGAATTTCCATGTCCACCTTAATTAAGAAAGAGAAAGCTCTTCCCCACCCTTCTGGCTCTTCAGAAGGGATTTCAGAAGGAATCAAGCCACTGCCTCCTGACTTGATTCTTTGGTCCATTATCATTATTTTTAATTTCTTCTCTTCCTAGTTATGGAGTTGCAGTTCTGGATAAGGTAAGAACATATTAACTGAAGGGGTCGAATCACAAATTATTAAGCTCTGACATTCTGGAATTTCATGATAAACTTGACTGGGATGAAGGAACATCTTCTTCCTGGATGGCAAGGGGGTACTATGCATAGACATGGGGCCTAATGGGACCCTATCAGAGCCAAAGCAGAAGAGGTTTGCTCTACACAAGCCAACCCAGGCTCTGGTTCTATGTCCCAGCATTTCAGGGGACCTAGAGACATTTGGAATACCCTTGTTCTTTCTCTCCAGGAAATCATCCAGCTTTCTGATTACCTCAAAGTAAGTGGCATGTGACCTCTCCCCTCAGTTCCTCCATCCACCTGCCCCCTGCTCGTCTAGGTGAAACTGACCCTCTTGCATTTTGTGCCTGTACCCCCAGGAGGCCCTACAAAGGGAGCTGGTCCTAAAACAGAAAATGGTGATTCTCCAAGACCTACTGTCCACTCTGATTCAGGCCTCTGACAGCTCTTGGAAGGTAAGGGAATGAAATTTTTTTTGAACAAAGCTCATGGGCTTGTATGTGTTCCCATCTCATTTTTCTTTCCACATCATCACAGTAAGAGACGGGGTTTTCTCACACTGAAAAGTGGGCTTGGAGGGGGCAGATGATGAGGGGGGTGGTACTCAGACTTAGAAGTCAAACAGGTCACAATAAATATATGGGTCATCATCTGAGGGTCATGCTGCTACACATCCAAGGAAGATCCAGAACCAAAAGTGGCAAGAATTCCTATTTTTTAATTTGTTGGAGGGAATGAAGGAAGATCCCAATATAGTTTATATTTCTGAATATGGTAAATGTCAAACATTTTTGTACAGGATTCACACTGATATTTATCCCAACCAGCATGCCACGTACCCACTCAGTCTGAATATGAATATCAGAGTGGGAAGGGGCCTTAGAGACAATCTCGTCTAACACTCTCATTTTGCCCATGAGGAAACTGAGTTTCACAGGGGTCAAGTAACCTGTCTAAAGTCACACAGCTGTTAGTGGCAGATCTGGAACTAAAATTCAGGCCTTTGATTTTAGTCCATTCAGTGTACAATATTCATAGGTTATGTCCTCTATATGGAACACTGGACTAGCTCTAGAAATAATTAGATTATTTAGATAGTGTTCTTGCTTTGAGAAGGCTAATGGTTTTATAAGAAAGACACATGACTAAACAATACAAAAACATGAAAAATAAATGTTTTGAAGATATAGGAAAATACAAGAAGGAATGAGTGACTCCAGAGAAGAAAATAGCCAAGGGAATACTTATATAAGTATTTGCCAGAAAAATATAGAAACAGGAATAGTATTCTAGTTGGGGCACAGGCAAATATCTAAAGGCACCTGTAATCTCAGCACTTTGGGAGGCCAAGACGGGTGGATCACCTGAGGTCAGGAGTTTGAGACCAGCCTGGCCAACATGGCAAAACCCTGTCTCTACTAAAAATACAAAAAATACAAAAATAAAAATAAAAAAATTAGCCGAGCGCAGTGGCACATGCCTGTAATCCCAGCTACTCAGGAAGCTGAGGCACAAGAACCACCTGAACCAGGAAGGTAGAGGTTGCAGTGAGCCAAGATTACACCATTGCACTCTCCAGCCTAGGCAACAGAGTGAGACTCCACCGCAAAAAAAAAAAAAAAAAAAAAAAAGGCCAGGCACGGAGGTTGAACCTATAATCCCAGCACTCTGGGAGGCTGAGGTGGGTGGATCACAAGGTCAGGAGATGGGGACCATTCTGGCCAACACAGTGAAACCCCATCTTTACTAAAAAGAAACACAAAAAACAAGCCAGGCATGGTGGCACGTGCCTATAGTCCTGGCTACTCAGGAGACTGAGGCAGGGGAATTGCTTGAGCCCAGGAGGTGAAGGTTGCAGTCAGCCAAGATTGAACTGCAGCCTGGTGACAGAGCAAGACTCCATCTCAAACAAAGAAAGAAAGAAGGATCTAAAGACATGATATAGTCTAATACAATGGTTCTCCAACCTTTTTATTTCAGGATTTCTTTATACTTTTTAAATTACTGAAAATCTATAAGAAATTTTTATATTTACCATATTAGAAATTAAGACAGTTGGCTGGGCGCCGTGCCCCACACCTGTAAATCCCAGCACTTTGGGAGGCTGAGGCAGGCAGATCAACTGAGGTCAGGAGTTGGAGACCAGCCCAGCCAACATGGCAAAACCCTCTCTCTACTAAAAATACAAAAATTAGCCGCATATGGTGATGTACGCCTGTAATCTCAGCTATTCCAGAGGCTGAGCCATGAGAATCACTTGAGCCTAGGAGGCAGAGGTTGCAACAAGCCAAGATCTCACAACTGCATTCCAGCCTGGGCAACAGAGCAAGACTCTGTCTCAAAAAAAAAAAAAAAAAAAAAAAAAAAAAAAAAAAAAAAAAAACAATCTGGGTGCAACAGTTCACACCTGTAACCCAGCACTTTGGGAGGCTGAGGAAGGAAGAACACTTGAGCTCCGGAGTTCAAGACCAGCCTGGGCAACATGGCAAAACCTCGTCTCTACTAAAAACACAAAAAATTAGCCAGGTGTGTTGGCATGCACCTGTAGTCTCAGCGACTTGGGAGGCTGAGGCAGGAGAATCTCTTGAGCCTCAGGGGCAGAGGCCACAGTGAGCCGTGATTGCACCACTGCATTCTAGCCTGGGCGATGGGAGTGAAACTCTGCCTCAAAAAAGAAAAAGAACACATTTTCAAAAACAAAACAAAATTAGTGACAGGGGTGTCATTGCCTTACACCTTTGCAAATATTTTTAATGTCTGGCAAGAAAAAGAGAGCTAGATTCTCATATTTGCTTCTGCATTCAATCTGTTGGTTTAAACATGACGAAAAATTCAGTCTCACACAAATATGTCATTAGAAAAGCTAAGACTTTGCTGATCCCTTGAAAGGATCTTGGGGATTCCCAAGCTTCCTCAGAATCCCCATGCTGAAGCCCCTACATTAGTATATACTATAAATTGATGTATTAGCATGAGCTACAAGCAGTTTGACACCACCAAAGCATAAAGCACCAGGTGGAAAGAGACAGAGCACCCAACCTCACTGGCCTGTGTGACATCACACCCTACCTCAAGGATAGACAGAAAGATGACAGGAGGGTATAGAACAAAACTGAGAAGTTGCAGTGACATAAAAAAGACTTCTTAAGCTCAGCCCTGTTTCTCACATCGGAAATGTCCCATGTACCTGGAATTTTGAATGTATGGTCAGGGCTCCTGATTGTTAGGTCATTTTCATTGACAGAGTAGGAACTTGGGGCCGACAGCTGTGCATGTGAGGTGGTTTCCGGTCCTGAACTAAATTGAGATCATCTCATTTGCTTGACAGTCATTTGATAAGTTCTAACTCTGTGCTGGGCCCTTGCTACAAGGACAAAAAGCATTACAGTCCTAACTCTTGAGGAGCTCACACTCTAGCCATGAAGACAGAGACACATAATAAATAACACCACAACAGTACAATACGGTTAAAGCAGCAGTGCACACAGAGTGATGCAGGGAAAACAGAAAGAAGGCAGCAATTATTCTGCCTGAGGTGGAACAGGGAAGGCTTTAAATGAAAGAAACCTGGCCAGGCACGGCTGCTCATGCCTGTAATCCCAGCACTTTGGGAGGGCAGGGAGGGCGGACCACTTGAGGTCAGGAGTTCAAGACCAGCCTGGCCAACATGGCGAAATGCCATCTCTACCAAAAATACAAAAATTAGGTGAGTGTGATGGTACACACCTAATGTCCCAGCTGCTTGGGAGGCTGAGGCACAAGAATCACTTGAACCCGGGAGGTGGAGATTGCAGTAAGATCGCACCACTGCACTCCAGCCTGGGTGACAGAGCAAGACTCTGTCTCAAAAAACAAAAATAAAGGAAAGAAACCATTTTAGCTGAATCTTGAAGAAAGAGTAGGAGCTCACCAGTACAGAAACAGGAGTGATGATGAGGGAAAAAAAGCAGAAAGTAAAAGGGTGTTTAAGGCCAAGAAACTGGAATGATTACAGGCCTATGAATGACAAAGAACTGGGGATTGCAGAGTATGGCTGAAATGAAGGTATGTCAGACCAGTGCCAAAAAAAAAGGATCTCAGACAGGTCTCTAGAATTATGGGTCTTAAACTTTTTCTCTTGAACAAGGTATCTCAAACTTGAATAATGCATGGACCCATTTTTAAAGAAAACCCATATATGTGTATATATAAAATGAGAGATCCATTAGAATGCATGCTACCCTGCTTGAGAAACACTGCTATAGCTAATAAGCTGAGGAGGAATGGAACTATGCTTTATTGAGGCTTAACATCCTACGCTTAGCAATGTCTGGCTCATCCTTAGAAGGTATGCAATTACTATCTGTGGAAATGACTTCTGAATGATCCGATCTGTATCTTTAAAGGTTCTCTAACTTCCAGCTGGACACGGTGGCTCACTCTTGTAATCCCAACACTTTGGGAGGCCAAGGCAGAAGGATCACTTGAGTGATCAAGACCAGCCTGGGCAACATAGTGAGACCTCATCTCTACTAAAAATTAAAAAATTAGCCGGGCATGGTGGTACACACCTATAGTCCCAGTTACTTGGGAGGCTAGGGCAGGAGGATCACTTGAGCCCAGGAGGTCCAGGCCACACCACTGTACTCCAGCCTGGGTGACAGAGCGAGACCCTGTCTTGAAAAACAAAAAAACAAGAGGGAGGAGGGTTCAAGGATTCTCTAACTTGTAGCAATAAGGACCCTGGCTCCAAGCGGGGGTTGGGAGAATTGAGACTCTTGTAATATCCCAGGTAAGACACAACCAGAACTTGAATCGAAGCAAGCTCTGTGGGAATGAGGGGTGATGTATGAAGAGACATTTCTGGGTTCGTCTCTGAGGAGGAGTTTCACCCCGTGCTCCCCAACAGAAAAAGTTCCCTTGGTTGCGGTTTTCTCCCTCCCTTCTTCTCACCCTTCTCTTCTTCCCCCCTCCTCTCCACCAACCCCCTAGCTTCCGGCTTTAAAGAAAAACAGTCTCAGCCTTTTTCAGTTGACAGCTATTGCTTCCCCTAAAATAAGGCAATTCAATATCCCTTCCATGAAAGCCTCAACTTCAATAAAAGGAGAGCCCCAGACTGTGCTATTTGGTAAAACTCACTGGAAGAATGTGGCCAGAACTGGTTCAGACCTTTATTTTTCCCATTTGACCTTCACAAATTTGAATTTCCAACTTCACGTGCTGAGAACTCACCACAAACTCCCTATTAGAACCCCAAGGATCAGCTCCCTCCCAGGGCTCCACCTCCAGATGTCTCTGGGCCTTTTGAATACCATAGGTCCTAGGGCAGTACTGAGACTCCTGAGCAGGGTCCAACCTTCAGGACAGAAACAGCTCTACCAGCAAAGAAAGCGAGCTCTCAATATTGTGCAATACAAAAACGAGAGCAGGGCAGCCTTGGGTTTGAAAATCTGCAACATGGAATTAAGATCTTGAGATGACAGCGCAGCGGGGGATTGGCTGTAAGCCCTAAGCAACCTCTACTAGAGCAGAGAGATGAGCTGTGGGCTGGTGCTTCTGTGGTGAGGTGGTGGTGTTTCTGGAGAGCAGATCAGAGGCAGGGGAAAACCACGCAGAAGCAGGAGCTGAAGACCTCAGACCGGCACCAGGTGTGTATGGCCTCCACCTTCCTCCTCTCTCACTGGGGGTTATGTGCCCTCTGAGCCCTGGGCTCCCGGGGTCTAGCTGCCTAAAAGGTCAGCAGTAGGCCTGTAAAAAGTGCTTCTTCCCACATACTGTAACACTGGGCTTCAGTGTCGGGAGCCCTGGGGCTCAGACCAGGAAACTACATGCCCCATGTGCAACAACTTGGCTGCGACTTTTGTGACGTCTTGGGGAGTCCAGAAAAGCAGAGCTGTGGAAAGAGGTTTTTGGTCAAACTCCAGACTTGGGTGGCCCTTCGTCCCCACTGAAGGGGTTGTCATGAATTGTCTTCCATTGCAACACAAATGGAAAACTTAACTGGGTTGGGCTAAAATACAAAAACAGCTGGAAGAGGCAAAATATTGGATTAAAGCCGTACTAGGGAATAGGGAGAGAGGAGATACCCCAAAAGGGTAGGAGACTGGGGACACTTTAAGAATATTGCCTTGGGCCTGTTTTCTTCCCAAAAATAGAGCAAGATAAACCTTAAACTTGGTAGGTGTGATGGTATTCTGCGGAGAAAGAGTTTGGGCAAAGGCAAATGCCTGGAATCGGAAGATGTGAACTAGAGGAGGTAGGGGTGCAGCCAGTTGATTTCAGGACCTGTGGATTGACAATGAGCAGACCACTGTGGAATGCAGCCATTTCAACAGTTACTTCAGAGCTCAAACAGTGGAAGTCTGTCCGTCTTCCATCGCTCCCAAAGCCCTGTGCTTACTGTCGATGCCAAATCCCAGACTCTCCGTTCCCTCTCACCTGAGACGCTCTCCCTCACATGAGATGTTAGGAAAAACATTAGTAACAGGAGGCATTTTTAAAAATTATTTTTGGCAATGCTTTTTGCTTTTTCAAGCCCCAGCTGAGAAACACAGGAAGCAGAAAGGGTGGGGGCACCCCCTGGCCCCTATGGTTAGAAGAATCAGCCAAACAAGATCAAAACAGGAGCTGAGAGATACCACTTCCTGCCTCCCCCAGGCACCCTGAAACTCACTGAGGGAAGCAGACCTCAACACCAAGCTCCCTCCTTCGCCCCCAGACCGTTACAGACTGGAAATGTTATAGGAGATAGAAACATCCAGGCCGTGTGACTGAGAGGGCCCACGGCGTCTCAGGCATGAAGAGAGGTGGAATTTCAAACCTCACAACTGTCCCACTTGGCCTGGCTGGAAAAGGTCAGAGAAAGGAGAGGAAAACCAGCTACTGCCCTGTCTCTGGAAAACCTGCTCTCATTGATGGAACCCCCGCCCCATCCCCTACACACATGCACCCTACACAAAACTCCAGGCTGGAAGAATGAAACCCCCACCTGGGAAAAAGGGGCAAGTCTACAAGTGGAGGGACAAGAAAGCCGCAAGGACGCTGTCAGCACTCGGCTGAGATACTGCAGACTGAAAAGCAGCACTCGGCTGAGATACTGCAGACTGAGAAGCAGCACTCGGCTGAGATACTGCAGACTGAGAAGCAGCACTCGGCTGAGATACTGCAGACTGAGAAGCAGCACTCGGCTGAGATACTGCAGACTGAGAAGCAGCACTCGGCTGAGATACTGCAGACTGAGAAGCAGCACTCGGCTGAGATACTGCAGACTGAGAAGCAGCACTCGGCTGAGATACTGCAGACTGAGAAGCAGCACTCGGCTGAGATACTGCAGACTGAGAAGCAGCACTCGGCTGAGATACTGCAGACTGAGAAGCAGCACTCGGCTGAGATACTGCAGACTGAGAAGCAGAGACGCTCCTCATGCAGCCTTGCTCCCCTCTCGCCCTTGAGATTAGCATCTGAGTGTCCGGAATGCCATTAGACAGACCCAGCTTATGAATAAATAGAATGTGACTTTCTGGGAAGCTTGCTCACACCCCCTGCCACTCTCACTCTGCTTTAATATCTCTCAGTTTCCTGCTTTCTTAAAGAAGTTCTCTCTCGAGTCTAGTATGTACATATGCATGTGGAAGTGTGTGTGTGCAGGTGGAGGTGTCCGTGTGCAGGTGGAAGTATGTGTGTGCAGGTAGAGGTTTCTGTGTGCAGGTAGAGGTGTGTTTGTGCAGGTGGAGGTGTCGTGTACAGATGGAAGTGTGTGTGTGCAGGTGGAGGTGTGTGTGCAGGTGGAGGTGTGTGTGTGCAGGTGGAGGTGTGTGTGCAGGTGGAGGTGTGTGTGCAGGTGGAGGTGTGTGTGTGCAGGTGGAGGTGTGTGTGCAGGTGGAGGTGTGTGTGTGCAGGTGGAGGTGTGTGTGCAGGTGGAGGTGTGTGTGTGTGCAGGTGGAGGTGTGTGTGTGCAGGTGGAGGTGTGTGTGTGCAGGTGGAGGTGTCCGTGTGCAGGTGGAGGTGTGTGTGCAGGTGGAGGTGTCCATGTGCAGCTGGAGGTGTCCATATACAGGTGGAGGTGTGTGTGTGCAGGTGGAGGTGTGTGTGTGCAGGTGGAGGTGTGTGTGTGCAGGTGGAAGTGTGTGCAGGTGGAGGTGTCCATGTGCAGGCGGAAATGTATGTGTGCAGGTGGAGGTGTGCATGTTCAAGTGGAAATGTGTGTGTGCAGGTGGAGGTGTCTGTGGGCAGGTGGAAGTGTGTGCAGGTAGAGGTGTCCATGTGCAGGCGAAGGTGTCCATGTGCATGTAGAAGTGTGTGTGCATGTGGAGGTGTCTGCAGGTGGAAGTGTGCATGTGCAGATGGAGGTGTGTGTGCAGGTGGAGGTGTGTGTGTGTGTGAAGGTGTGCATGTGCAGGTGGAGGTTTGCATTTGAAGGTGTGTATGTGCAGATGGAAGTGTATGTGTGCAGGTGGAAGTGTGTGTATGTGCAGGCATATGTGTGCCGGTGGACGTGTGCCTGTGCATGTTCAGGTGGAAGTATGCATGTGCAGGTGAAGGTGTGTGCATGCAGCTGGAGGTATGCATGTGCATGAGATGAGGAGGTGTGTGTGTGTAAGCGGAGGTGTGTGTGTGTATGTGGAAGTGTGCGTGTGCAGGTGGAAGTGTGCATGTGCATGTGGAGGTGTGTGTATATGTGCAAGTGTGTGTGGCAGAGAGGAGAGTATATTAATTAATTTCCTAGGACTGCTATGACAAAGTACCACAGTCAGGGGAGCTTCAACAACAGAAACTTATTTTCTCACAGTTCTGGAGACCAAAAGTCTGAGATCGAGGTGTGGGCAGAGTTTGTTTCTCCTGTGGTCTCTCCCTTGCCATCTCTCTCTGTGTCTCCATGTGGCTTTCCCACAGTGTCCTGATCTCCTCTTTTAGTAAGGACATTCATCATATTGGATTAGGGCCCAGTCTAATGGCCTCATTTTAACTTAACTACATCTTTAAAGACCCTGTCTCCAAATATGGTCACATTCTGGGGCACTCGGGGCTTAGGACTTCAGCACAGGAATGTTGAAGAGATAGAATCTATCAGCCCGTAACAGTGGATAAGGGAGGGAATAAATATTCTCCTGGGAGGGGAGACTGTGTTAGCCTTACTGGCCTACATTTTACAGATAAAAGTCCACGTAGAAGACTGAGAAGAGGTGAGGAGGGCAGAAGTGCCTAGATAGGGGAGGGAAGGTAGTGAGTGAAAGGGCAGCTTAGAAGCTTTCCTTCCAGGCCCCCCAACCCCCTGCTATGCGACCTGGAGCCATTTGATAAAAATCGAGGTAAAAAGAGGACTTGAGGCCAGTCTGATTCTTTCTTGTACTAGTCCAGGGAAAGAGAAGATCCTCTTCTATCCAACATCCTTTGTCATCTTTGCTCCTGCCTACCTCCTGAAAGAGTTCACTGTTTGAGCACCAACTATGTGTTGGGCAGTAGGATAGGAATACAGGGTCAAACTCTTTGCAGACTAGATTTTGGACCAAGTTCATTAACTCATCCCATTTGCTCTAGGGACAGCTTAATGAAGACAAACTAAAGGGGAAACTGAGATCCTTAGAAAACCAGCTGTACACGTGTACCCAGGTAAGCGTTCTGAAGGATACTTCCATCTTGGGAATCTAGAATTAAATAAGAACAATGCCTGAACCTCAATCTTACTTTCTAGAAATGTCATCAGATAGAGAATAACACACCCATTCCTACTTAACCAGTTCTGGCTTGGCCATTTTCACTTTAGTCTCTAATTCACTAGATCGCTGTCTCCATCTTCTTTCTCTCTCTTTCTCCCAGTATCCTTCTCTTTGCACCCTCGGAAGGAATCCCAGCACTAACCACTTTGTCAGCCCAGGGAAACCTTGAGAATACCTGAAACTGTAGGGAAAGACCCTTGGTAAAGATTCACACCACCCAGACAGACCTTTACACATCCTAATCTTTGAACAGATGAATTGGATGTTATAAAGAAGTCTTAGAAAATGATTTTCATTCTATGGGCAACTTTTTTCTGTTTTTCTAACAACCATTAGAAGAATGTAAAAGCTCTTGTACTTGGCTCTTCTGTAACATTGTTTTCCAGCATTAGTAATCTCCTGATTGGCGTAATCTTGGTTTACAAGAGATAGAAAGAAATCAGCTTTCACACTTGAGAAGTGATGGATCCCTGACAGGTGGGAAGATGTCAAATAAGAGAATGGGGTGAAACAGGAAGACTTCTCCCATCTGGAGTTAGAGAGAAGGTAGTCCTGGCTACATAGACGGCGTCTTACAGGGGATCAGAGTTTATGGAGGCTGTAACTTTCGGGGTCCACAGCTTTTATTTTTTCAGTATGATTTGCTTTGTCAGTACTAAATAATGCCAACCAAGCTCATAAGAGACTAATATATAACTCAGAATGCCAGTCTATTACCTTTCAGTGGGGAATAACAAATAATCAGTGACCAGCATGAATGGTCACTGGATGTCCAGTATCTGGGACATCACCTGCATATGACCTCAACCAGGTTAACTCCTGGATCTGGTTTTTAATGAAAGTTTGAAAACCATAAAACCCACTCACATTTAAATCAAAAATTTCAGATAATTCCAAAGCTAAATGGAAATGATTTCATACGGATTCCTAAATTTTTGTCATCTAGTCTACTGCTTACATAGTGGGTAATCCAGAATTGACACTAAAAGCTGCCTGCCTTCTCCAAAATCACAGGGCATAAAGATGAAAGGAAAGGAGGAGGCAAGACCTCCCTCCCCCAGTGAATTTGCAAAGCTACACTTGTGTCTCTTTCTTAATTCTGCAGCCAGAAGGAATTTTATAAAGCAAAGGTATTAATTTTAAAACATTAAGTTCATTTGGAATTGTAGAGAGGCTACAATGATCTCATTTAGAAGCAGCAGCAGTATGCTAGCTCCTGAAGGAGTTTACAATCCAGTATGAAAGACAGATGAGTCAATGGAGCAGAACAATACAGGCATGCAGGGGATATTATGTGAACACTATGAACACTAAGAAAAGCTACCTAATCCATAAGACATTGGGGAATGGGGGTAGTTGGTCAATTTATCAGTACTGATGGTACTGGACTGAATCTTGAGTATGAGAAGAAGTGAACCAGCTCTAGGCAGCAGCTATATGGGTAAAGGCAGAAGCCAAAAGACAGAGTGCTGGGGGATCTGCAAACATCCCGGCTTAGGTAGAAGTAGCATGGGATGAAAATCTAGGCATGTAAGAGGAGCGATGACAAGGAGTTTAAATGGCATTCTTAGGATGCTGGGAATCCATGGAGAGACTTACGCAGGAAGTGGCAAGATCGGATTTGCATTTTAGAAAACTTTGTAAGTGCAGGACTGAAAAGGGATTGAAGGGAGGAGGCAAGCTTTGAAGAAAAGGAGGCTGTTGCATTAATCCATATAGTTCTACTACTAGAGCCTGAACTAAGGATGCAGAAGTAGGGATAGAGAGGAGACAGACATGAGCTGTTAAGGAAATTGTCAAGGCTCAATAACTAACTGATTACCGGGAGGAAGTGAGAGAGAAAATGAAGATTGGCTCCTTGGTTTAGGGTTTGGAAACGCCTGGATGGATGATGATTCTGGCCACTGAAATAGGAAGTCCAGGAGAGAAAACACATGCTTAGAAAGATGAGTCCTTTTAGACAGTTGGATTTCAAGAGCTTGTACAAGGCCTTGGATACAATGCCCAGCAAACCCTAGGCACTGTTTAGTATGCCCGCCACTCATCTCTCATTGCCTGAGGGACTCTCCCTGCTAGCTTTACCCTAAAGGAAAAGGCTCATGAGATTACTGGTATCTCTTCTCCGGGGGAAGAATCAACTTCATTTCATTTCTGTATCCCAGCTCAGGATTTGGCACACAGAAGCTCAATGTGTATTTGTTGAATTGCATCAAATTTACAGAAATACTCCCCTTGGGGAATGAAAAAAGTACTACTGGAGATGGAAGACCAGAAAAACAGCTATGAGCAGAAGGCCAAGGAGTCACTGCAGAAAGTGCTGGAGGAGAAAATGAATGCAGAGCAGCAACTACAGAGCACACAGGTATAAGGATGCCACATAGACCTTGGGGTGGGAACTCCAGGCAGCTTAGAGAATGAGCAGCGAGCTGCACAACTCCTTGGAACCCTCTCCTCTCTGATCTCCCTCAGCGATCCCTGGCCCTGGCAGAGCAGAAGTGTGAAGAGTGGAGGAGCCAGTATGAGGCTCTGAAGGAGGACTGGAAGACCCTAGGGACCCAGCACAGAGAGCTGGAGAGCCAACTCCACGTGCTTCAGTCCAAACTGCAGGTACCAGGCACTGGGGCTGGGGAGGGAAGGCAGGGAATGGGGAGGAGGAGTGGTGATGAAAGAAGCTGTTCTGGGTTAGGGACTCCAAAGGCAGCTAACAGTATCTGGCTTTCAGTTCCTCAGTCACCACCCACTTTGTACCAAATTCACTGTTTTGGCTCTGAAATCGAATTTTGAGTTTAGCAAGGATGTCTGCACTGCTCGTGCAAATGAACTAAGCATTCACTGGAATGACACCATGCAAATGAAAAGAGCTGGCTGGAATATTTATCAGCCTACTAATGTCATACCCCAACCCACTCTCCAAACTCTATCCCAAAAAAGCATCCAGTTCAGAAGTGCCCGTTATTGGCACAGAACAAATGTCATTAATTTATTTACAGGTGAGTACTAACACTTTCTGCCAATGTGTGTGTGTGTGTGGCTTTTTGATTTTTGGTTTGTTGTTGTTGTTGTTGTTGTTGTTGTTGTTGTTGTTTTTCGAGACAGAGTCTCGCACTGTCACCCAGGCTGGAGTGCAATGGCGCAATCTCGGCTCACTGCAACCTCCGCCTCCTGGTTCAAGCAATTCTCCTGCCTCAGCCTCCTGAGTAGCTGGGATTACAGGTGCCCACCATCACACCCAGCTAACTTTTTTGACATTTTTAGTAGAGATGGGGTTTCACTCTGGTGGCCAGACTAGTCTTGAACGCCTGACCTCGTGATCCACCCACCTTGGCCTCCCAAAGTGCTAGGATTACAGGTGTGAGCCACTGCGCTGGTCTCCAATGTGTTTTTTAAGCAATGACATTTAGCAGTTACAACTAGACTCTTGGCATTCTCAAGGGTTCCATCATTTTCAATCTGTCCTAAGCCTCAGTTTCCCTATCTGTGAAATGAGGACAACAGTACCCATGTCATAAGGTTGTTCTGAGGATTAAGTAAGGTGATCCATGTAAAGCACTTAGCACAATGCCTGGCACATTAAAGCACTCAGTAAATATTAGCTATTATTTGCACAGATTTATTTGGTTTGGAATTTTGAGGCTCCACCTCAAAAGCTGACCTTTGTAATTTTCCTGAAGCAGGGCTCAGAACAGCCCACTTGATAAGGGACAGAGTATGTGGGTCCTATCAAAGGTGTGAACCTAGCTGGTCACTCTACATGGTATCCACATCTCAATCTTTTTTGTTCTCTTCTTCCCACCACCTATAAGGCCACTCCTATGAAGATTTTTGTGGGTTTCTTTTTAACTTTGAATCTTTGTGGGGGAAAAGAGAAGACCCTAACAAAAAAACGATTCATACTGCCAGAAGAAAAGAGAAAGTAAAAACATCTAGAAAAGTGATGACTTCATATTCCTTAATTTGGTGATTTACCAAAGTGTCAAGACATGAGTCCCACGCCAATGACAACCGCTTACATTTCCCCTAGAATGGCAGATTTTTTTTAAGTATTGGGTTTCCTAAAGCAATTCTTATTTTACATATTCTAATTTATGTACATGAGTATGTCGCATAGACCTCTGTCACTAGAGATGGTTTAAAAAATAAATTCATACTACACATGCCTCAGTCCACTTCAAAACTACTGGCACGTGTCTGTAGTCCCAGCTACTAGGAAGGCTAAAGTGGGAGGATTGCTTGAGCCCAAGAGATCAAGGCTGCAATGAGCTATGATGGCACCACTGCACTCCGGTCTGAGTGACAAAGTGAGACCCCATCTCTAAAAATAAAAATAAATAAAACACAAATTCCTTGTGAATAGCAAAATTCTAATTTGCTGTTATAAATGTGAGGAACAACGGAAAGAGAATAGGAAAAAAGAAACGCCTCCCTATTTTCTCATTTCCCTAACATTCCTTCTATCTCCACAATTCCACAATTTTCTTATTTTCCTCTTCCATGGTACCTGCCCCCAACCTGAGCACTGACCTCCTTCTCTATTGACCCCTCCTCCATCCTTACAGGGAGCTGACAGCAGGGACTTACAGATGAACCAGGCCCTGCGATTTTTGGAGAATGAACACCAGGAACTGCAGGCCAAGATTGAATGCCTGCAAGGGGACAGAGACCTGTGCAGCTTGGATACCCAGGACCTACAAGGTATTCTTCTCCTTGGAGGCCTTGGGCACACAGGAGCCATGGCCGAGTGAGCTAAGGAAAAAAACAAAAACAAAAACAAAAACCAAAACAAAAAAACCTTGTTAAGAGAAAGGCTTCAGGTTTTTATTTGTTCACTTGATTGGCTGATTGGCTTTATAATATCATTTTACCTTGAGGGAGAGATGGGGCTGTTTTAATCATCCAAAACTGAAAATTAATGTCACTATACTAGAGCATCTTGTTGTCTGAACTCTCTTTTTTAGCCCTTCCCTCGGGGCCAGATCACATTGCTCCCGTATCAGTCACATATATCAAGGCCACATTCCTCATTTGAAAGGGAAAGGTCAGTTGACACGCAAGGCATAAAGTCTCTCAGTCACAGCCTCTGCGTCAGCTGATAGAGAGGACTAGATCGTGTGTAAACACAATCCTCCATCAACCCAACATTTCTGATGCACAGAACCTGAGGTACTTGGCTTCTGGTTTACCTCTTTAGAACTGTGACACGAAGACAGAGCAACTTCCAATAGACACACGTTAGAGGCCATGACAAGATAGCATCTATTACTAATTTCTATCCTTAAGTACTGGGTTCATTAAGGCTTGGGTTCCTTTATTTCGTCTCGCATTACTGCATTTTCAGATCGACTAAAAAGGTCAGAGGCGGAGAAACTCACCCTGGTGACCAGAGTACAGCAGTTGCAGAGTAAGTTCGCTTTCCAGATTCTAAAAGTCCACAGGGTTTTCCTGGGGCTCTTGGCCTACAAAAGACACCCAGAGTAGGGATTAAGGGCCCAGTCTGTGGCATATGCTTTAACTCTGTGCATTTTCAGACCCTCTTGTTGTGAAGTTAGGTCATTTACGTAGCTCTCCAGAAATTACGTATTGGCTTCTGTTTTTTTTTTCTACTTCTGTCCTTCCATGCCAATGACATCATTTACAATTTCCCCTAGAATTGCAGATTTTTTTAAAGTACTGGGTTTCCTAAAGCAGTTCTTATTTTATATATCCTAATTTATGTACATGAATATGTCATATGGACCTGTCACTAGAGACGGTTTACAAAATAGGCTTACACTACATATGCCTCAATCCACTTCAAAACTTCATATTGGTCCCATAGAGGAAAGGGAACTTCTCAGAAGAAAAGCAGTTTCTGAAAAGTTGGGGAACCTGTCTCAATTAATACCGCTGCTGGTTGCCTACCACATTAACCTCTGATACCTGATAGAGAAGCTTCATGAAAACAGAAATGAATATTAACACAGCAAAGCAACCACAGGGGAAAGAGAAAGGCTTCAAGCAAAAACTTGAAGGTAGACGCATGGTGGGGAGAGTTATAAGGGTGATGTATTCATAGCAAAGTACCACAGACGGTGTGTCTTGAAAAACAGAAATGTATTGTCTCACAGCTCTGGAAATTAGAAGTCCAAGATGTCAGCAGGGTTGTTTCCTTCTGAGGGCATTTAGGGAAAGATTGATGTCAGGGCTCATTCCTTGGCTTTGTAGATGACCATCTTCTCCCTGTGTCTCTTCATATCATTTTTCCCATCAACATATGTGTCCAAATTTCCCTTTCTTATAAGGACACAAGTAATATTAGATTAGGGCCCACCTGAATGACCCTATTGTAACTTGAGTATCTTTTAAATAACTTATATCCAAATAAGGTCATAATTTAAGGGACTGAATCTTCAACATATAGATTCTGGGGAAGAAAATTCAACACATAGCAGATGGAAACACATTTAATAACTAAGGTTCTAAGCAAAGTTCTGAAAAGAAACTCTTTGTAGTAAATATGCTAGCATAGACAAGTTCCTTGTGTTTTCCAACAGGTCTACTTCAGAATCAATCCTTACAGCTTCAAGAACAGGAGAAACTCTTAACAAAGAAAGGTCAGCAAATTTATTACCACAAATTCTAAGATATTGCTCTTCCCTTACCTGCCTAGAGGCAGGGGGATGGACTACATGACCTCCTGGAGTCCCATCCAGCTCTGGGAGTCTGTTAAGTCCGGGATGTATGGGAGCTTTTTAAGGACTGATCATTGGCTCTGAGGACACTTCAACTAGTTAGCCTTCTATCCTGAGGTATACAAACTGTGGAAAACGGTTTCTATTCTCTTTGAAAACACATGTCTATGTTGAACATTTCAATAAACTTATTTTGAACTCAGGATTTCATGTCAATTTTTACACACCTGATTTTCCAAATCATATCCAACTCCCCAGCCCCAAACCACGTAGCATGCCAGAGTCAAGTAACTCTTAGCCCTAGAGTCTGCTGTCCATGTTTCCTGAGAACTCACTGCCTGTACAAAGGTCCAACAGCTCCTCACCTACCCACTACACATGACCTTTTGTTCTCTCCTCACAATCACTGGGTATAATGTAAGAGATAAGGCAGACATTTTTATGCCCACACAGTATGGATAAGAACATGAAGGTCTGTGTCACCACAGACTAACAACACAGCTACAACAACAATCCAGAATGTCTGACTCCTAGTCCATGCTCTTTTCACCAAAACAAAGGCTGCAGGGTGGCTGAAAACCCATCTTTAAACACATGAAGACAGATTTTAGAATATGACTGCCATCTTCACAACTTTGAAATAAGGACATCAGGGAAAAGCGGTTATATTAAAGCAGCCGCCAAACTTATTTGACAAACTAGGAAGAATGTGACAACCAATGAAATTCCATTAATAAGTATCCACTAAAATTATCCAGCATTAGACAAGACTGAGGATACAAAGAAAAGGTGACAATCTTGCCCTCAAGGAGCTCAGATTCCAACTGTCTGTCCAAGCTTAGCAGGGGCCCAATAGAAGCTAAACTTTATGTCAGAGAATGCCATCAGTCTAGCCAAGAGCACACCCTCCCTAGTTCCTTCCCCTCTCCCCACTCCTAGTGGTCTACCCCCTAGGGCCCTTCCTCAGAGGTGTGGGCCTCACTATCACGAAGAATCTGGCTGCTTTTATAGATCAGGCTCTGCCCGAGTGGAGTCCAAAGTCCTTCCCTAACGAAGTGGCGCCTGAGGGTAAAGGAAAGGAGAAAGACTGGGATCTAAGAGACCAGCTGCAAAAGAAGACTTTGCAGCTCCAGGCCAAGGAAAAGGAGGTGAGAGGGTGACCAGAGACAGTGAGGGCTCATCTGCAGAAGGGCAGAGAGACCTGGGAGGCTGCCAAAGGGCAGGGATTTCAAAGTTTGTGACTGGATATCCACAGATAGTCATTTGCCTGTATAAAGTGTCTGTGCTTTTGGACTGACTTGTCAATCTTTTCCCTTCCTTATTTACACCAACTCCTATTCAAGATTTTATTAAATGATTACCTTTTAGAAAGTCGACCAAAACTCAAACACACTTAATGAAAATATTAACTTCCCAATATGTTGTCCCACACTGAGTACCTTAAATCTTTTTTTTTTTTTTTTTTTTTTTTTTTTTTAGTTTATTAAACTAAGTGTATCTGGACTTGCTAAATCTTTATATGTCTTTTAAAGAGTAACACTCTTCCTTTGTACATAGCCACAAACATACATATCCCCAGAAGTGTTCATATGCAACTAACTCCTGGGAAAGAGACTTGTACTAAGGTCACTTCTAGGTCTTTTGTGCAATAAGAACTTCATTTTCTGGTGTCTCCCATTTGCAATGCACTTGAATGTAGTCTTTGTGTAAAAGAACTTAAGCGTATAAAATGCAATAATATGCACATTATCAATCATTTAAATGAACATATTCCAGACAATATGAGACAGTCAAAAGACAAACTCAAATTCCTGAGAATGGTTGGGAAGGGAGGATGGTGGTAAAAATTCCGAACGAGTGAAACTTACATAGGGCAGTCTCCCCAACCTGGGCTCTGTCCTAGACAGAAGTGACAGTGATGACTTTGGTGATATTCTCCCCAGTGCAGAGAACTGCATTCGGAGTTAGACAACCTCAGTGACGAGTACCTCTCCTGCCTGCGTAAGCTGCAGCACTTTCGAGAAGAGCTGAACCAGAGCCAGCAGCCGCCTCCCAGAGTAAGAGGGTCTATCCTTCCATAAAGCCCTGGATGATGGGATGAGTCCTTCTTTAACCAAGTTTTGCAGATAAAATGAATCAGCCCATGCCAACATCTGGCCATTCTGTCCCATTGTGCTTGGTTTATACTATACTGACATTATGGCAACCATTGGAAAAAATACTGGCTCATGCATCGAAGCCCAACTTTCCCTCTCAATGCCAGAGGGAAAGACTTACTCTTAGCTAAAGTATGAAAGGGTGTTCTTTTAGCCTATGATAAGCATGGAGCCAGGAAGAGTAGGACAACAAAAGTACTGCAGAATACGAACAAAGAACATAATTTTGCTGAGTTATTCTCCACCCTTGATTATTCATATCAGTATTTATATATCTGGTCCCTGATGGATATGGCTCCCTGGGCCAGGGACCACTGGTTAAGTGGTTTCACCCCAAGAGAGGTGACAAAGTGGGCGAGAGTGTAAAAAGCATTTTTTCCACCACCAACCCAGGGTTTTCCACTGGACTAGAGTAGAAAGAAGAAAGAGTTTTGCCTATATCTTTTCCAGTCAACTCATGGCCACTTTCTTCTGTCCCCCTGGCCCTCTGCAGAGGCAGTGTGGGCGATGGCTCCCAATGTTGATGGTGGTGATTGCTGCGGCACTGGCAGTGTTCCTGGCCAATAAAGACAACCTGATGATCTGAATAAAACAGCTGCCTTGGGTGAAAATCAGAAGCAAGCAACTCAATGAAAAACTCAGAAGATTTGGGTACCTTACAGCTTGGGTTTTCCTTTTCCAACTGACTTAGGATTTCTGACTTTTTGTGATTTCCTTAACCTACTGTAAATAAACTTCACCTGACCAGACTGTTCCTCTGAACTCTTGGTTTATTCCTGAATGGTGTATTACATTAACAAGTATCACATATTTAAGCATACTGGTGGTCTACTTTCCTCAAATTCAGCTGGAAGCATAAAAAATATGCAGAAAAGCCCCCAGCCCAACTTTCCTAGCAGACGGCACCCACACAGAGCACCTCACAAATATCTAGCTTGTCTTCCACCACGCTGCTTTTCCTCTATCATCTCTTTCCTTCTACCTCTTATCCTGTAAAAATGAAAACATCTCCACTAAGAGGACTTCCTGGTATAGAAATGGCAAGTATGTACTATTTATCAATTTGCTACCAGCACCAGCATTACCTATTTCCATGCCCTTTGCATTTGCAGCCAATTATTACTGCATTGTGCCTTAGTGTACTCAAGACACCTGGAATTGGCACTTGAGATGATTATTTGCCATCCCCAACCTAGAGATGATCTTTTACTGAGTACCTTCTGTATGAGAGGAGAGTTAAAGTCAGAGGGCCACAGCCGGCAGTGTGACTATCTCAGAGGAGATGCTGAGATCAGCAAAGTCATTCTGAGTCCTAAATCGGGTTCTGAGATCCTTCTCCCAAGTGTTTATAATGTCCCTCAGGCCTGGGAACAAGCTCTCTGGGACACTAAAGGAATAGAGCAGGATTGGGGGTTGACCTAGCAACCATGAGATCCGGGCAGTGAATACTCGTAGTGGAGTCAGAGCTAAGCAGTTGTCATCTCCCTGGTTCGGGTGAAACGTATAGGGGACAGGATAGCCCAGGAGGATCCCAAATACAGTACAGAGATTCCAGTCTGAGGAATGGAGCCTGCTGTGGGAAACTGCGAGAGATAAGTCCCTCTGCGGCCCCTGCAAATGTGTGATGATCTCAGCCACGAGGGCCTTCAAGTCCTGAAGCTGGTCCAGGGAGCAGACACAAGGGTGAGGCTGGCAGCCGGAAACATCCACAAAGGCTATGGTACCAAGCAGCACCTGCTCCAAGTGCTGGCATACATGCTCAGGACTGACAATCAGGCTGTTTTCTCCAATCTCAAGGATGTGAAGTCCAAAGGTCAGGAAACCAAGCCCCTGTAGCTCCTCCAGATAGCTCTGGAGCTCTGATGCCCCCGCACAGTTGCAATCATAGAGCACAGCTGGCTTCAGTCCCCGGGCCACAGCCAGCACCTCTCCAGCTAAGTGAAGGCAGATGGCTTGGGGTGGACTCCGTCTCTTACCCAGGCCAAGGTTCTGCTGAGCAGCTGCCACCAGCAGCTGAGGGCTCGGTGATGACATGACATCTAGAAGCAACATCAAGAATGGCCTCCTTAGCTAGCCACAATTCCCTTCCCTTGGTGGCATCTTTCAGCCAGACACTTGAGGGGCCTAGAAACAAAGCAGTGGCAGGGAATTATTAGCAGCCAGTAACACACCAGGAAACCTGCCAAAAGCCTTCCTGTTAAGTCTAAGTGTCTTCCAAGGTTATTCTGTCCCTTTCTCTGCTTTGAAATGCTGACCCAACCCAGACAATATAGGATCACCAATGCTGCCTGATTTTTCTGGTTGACTTGGTCTCCCTCAATCTCAAATTCATGTGTCTTTCTAGTCTTAAACAGCTAGATTTATATTCTCGCTTTTATTCTAAATTTTATATGTTGTAAATTACGTTCTCTGGTTCAAACCTTAAGGAGTTGGGGGCAGAAGCGGAGGCGGGGCAGTCTTCGGCAAAATTCACAGTATTTCGCCCAAAAGCCTTTCTGGGACAGAGCTCCAAGTTCTAAATGTATCCTTTCTACTGACAACTCCCCTACTCTTCCCACCAGGGAATAGTCGTAAGAATAGCAATATGATTAATATGCACCAGAATGTGGACTAACAACCATCTAATCCTGACACATAAAAATGAATGAATGAAATCCGCTAGAACTGCAGGAAGGGTAGTATTTTAACTTCTGCGGGCCCCGCCTTCCCTTGCGGTCTGACATCAAGAACCTTCGGAAGATGGGCTTTCTCCGATCCACACACCCACACCAGAGCATATTAGAGTGATTTGCTAAATGAGGCAGAAGTCTCTCTCACATACGTTCTTTTTCCACGTCCGCTACAGGTTGGCGGGCTCAGAAACTTTTTGCTGCTTCCTGCCTGCTGCCGGGAAGGCAGCTAGTCCCCCGCGCCCAGCCGCAAGCAACACTGGAAATCCCGCCCGCGCTGGGAAGACCCTCGCAGCCGGCTCCGCTCGGCCGGCAAACACCTTACTGCGCATGCGCACCCACTCGGGTGCCGCCCTCATTCGCCCCATTCCGTGACGTCATCCAGCCGCTCTCCCTCCTCGCGTCGGAACCACTAGCTAGGCCGCCTTGCCGCTGCCGGAAGTTTGGGCCACCCGGCGGCCCGCCCTTTCCGGCCAGACAAAACCCGGCCCCACCTGTCTGCTTAGGCACTGGGAAGGGCGGAAGTGAACGAGAAAAGGCGGAACCTGGCGAAACTGGTTTCCCGCTGCTGCCCTCATTTTGCTCCGCCGAACGTCCTCCGTCTGTTATGACGTCTGGGAATCCGTAAACAGGGTACCCAGCGCTTTAAATTAACACCTTTGAGTTGTATCTGTGGAAATACGGGTTGTCCAGACTGTAACATACCTCAAGACAATTAACATTTTGCAGAAGAGCCTCACCTATGGGTGGTGCTGCAACGTTTTTAACTTTGACTTCTCTAAGTCATACATTTGAGAGACTTACAAGAACAGCTCTCTAGGGAGGGTGTGAAGGTGTGAGTATTCACTTTGAACAAATATGTGCCAGCCATGCTGCTAGGTCCTGGAGGTATTGCAGTGTGCAAAAGACAAAACCCCCACTTTCATGAGGCATGAGTTCATGTCTACTGAATCCAGTTTGCTGATTTCAAATAAGACATGAGAAGTGATGACACAGGCTTTCCAGTCAGGTCATTACTGAAGGAAAAGTGTTACTTCCCATAAGAGTTAAAATCTTTTTAACTACCAGCTGTTTGACCCATACCACGAAGGGAGAGGATTTCTTGAGAAAACACCAATGTCTAAGGAAATGGCCCCAATTTATTTATAGTTGCAGCAGAATAGAGATTAAGGGAATGATGGACACCTACAATGGAGTTGTCACTCCTGGGTCTATTTTGGTGTTGTCTTCAGATGGTGAAAAGTTAACTGTACAGTAAAGATGGGGCCAGCATGGGAGGAGGACCAGCTCATAGGAGTTATCAGCCTAACTCTGTCTGGTTCTTAGCTCAGAGGGAGTCAGAAGCTGAGAGTAGAAAGTAGTCTTCTAATTTTAGAATGTTTTCCTTCCCCCATTTCTTTAATTTTCCCATGGTGGTTAAAAATAAATCCCTAAAAGACTGATTTAATTCATTCATTTATTCCAGCAACAAATATTTGAGAACACACTGTGTACCAGACACTGTTCTAAGGACTGGCAGCAAAGTCCAAAATAAACAATTCCTACCTTCAGCAAGTTTGTAGTCAAGCAGTACACAGATGCTGAGCATTACAAGGAAAATGATTATTCTGAAAGAGGAAGCATAGGGTGCTATGGGAACATATAACCAGGGACGTAATTATATGGGAAAGGGGCCAGCCCAGATCCAACACTTGCTTCTCCCAGTTTACCTCCAATAGGTTCTTTTTAACTTTAATCTAGTTTGGTGGGGTATACAGCAAGGAAAAGGAAGAGCTGGTGACAAAATCTAACTCCCTTCCTAGTCTTCAGCAAGGTGAAGGCAAGGATGTAGAAGATATCAATGGAGTAAGTGGTGGTAGCCATCAAAGGCCTCAGAAGACTGAGGCCCTAAAAAAAGGAAACCTAAATCTATCCAGCAGGACAGAGAAAGAGCATTGAGGGTGATCAGCTGGGATCCCTGCATGTATTCTCCTGGCATTCTGAAAAGGAACCAAGACAAGAAAGAAAATAGGATAGCTAGTTAAGACCTCACAAATCACTCATCCATTCCTCTGACATGTTCATAAACTTTGCATAATGGTTACAAACCAAAAGCTTGGTATTTCTTGGCACTTTCCCAATGTCCTTTACCAGCTTACATTATCTGGGCTCCCACCCAGAATATAGATAGCGTTAGCATTTCATAGAAGAACAAGACTTGCCCTCCTAATTTACCTGCAGTGGGTTATTTTTAGCTTTGAGCTCCCACACACAGAAGGGGCAGCCAAATATCAAGACCAAATCCCTCACTTCACCCACTCAACAAAGTGACCCCAAAATGTAAAGTTTCTGTGCCTTTAATGCTTCCTGGTCCCTAAAAACCCAACTTTTCCTTGAAGCTGGGCACCTATCTTTAGCTACATTTCTTAATCTTTTCATAATAGCATGGGTAATGCTCTTTATAATAGCAATTTCCACTAGGTCTCTCAGAAACTCTAAAACCAGAAATAAATAAGTCCTCGTGTCACCACTGATTTTGAACTTTTAGTTTTTAAAAGAAAGCTAGCTCAACTTTTGAGTCATTTTCAAAAGTAGGAGATGGCCTGGTTTAAAGGCACCAGACTAGACATGGGCTTCCTATGTCCTGACACAGACAGATAGGCATCACTATTCAAGAGGACTGGGGCTTGAAACCACAGATTAGCATCTTATTTGTAATTTAGATCCCAGATTCATTGACGCCAGGAGTTCAAGCCCAGCCTGAGCAACATAGCAAGACCTCATCTCTACAAAGATAAAAAAAATTAGCCAAGCATCATAGCGCACGCTGTTGTCCCAGCTACTCAGGAGGCTGAGGCAGGACAATTACTTGAGCCCAGGAGCTTAAGGCTGCAGTAAGTGTGATAATGCCACTGCACTCCAGCTTCGGCTGCAGTAAGTGTGATAATGCCACTGCACTCCAGCTTCGGCAACAAAGCAAGACTCTGTCTCAGAAAAGAAGAGAAAGGCAAAAGAGTTAAAGACTCAGCAAAAGTTTCTACATAAGACCAGTTTGTGACAGATAGAGCTGCACTGTTCTCTACCACTCTTTACCTTCACTGTTCACACCCAGATACCTCCACTAGTAAGGGAGACAAGCAGGTTTATGCTAGGTGAGCCTTTCCAGAAGAGTACTGCCCAGCCCTCCTTCATCCCAGCCTTAACACACCCAACAACCCATTTCTTCCAACTGCAAAAAATCTACATGATACTGTTCCTTTTGTAGTCAGAGGAGTATATCTTAGATCCCTAGCTGAGTCTAGCTCAGGGAAGAAAATAAGGAGAGCTCTTTCCTCTTAAAGCTACCACCTGAATCACATACTTTCATCTGCCCCCTCCTCCACTCCTGCCCCCCACCTCCACACACACTGGTATTTGAGTGGTAATAAGGTAAATGCCTGACAACCTATTCTTCCACAGAATCCCTAGGCTTTGTGTGTCAGCAGCTTCCCTTTAGAACCCAAGTTTGTGAGCTTTCACTTCACAGGCTGGATGACTTTCAGACTTTGGCACCCACTTGTATTTAGATATCAAGCATGGTTTCTAAGCAACCAACCAGCCAGCTCCTCTCTCTCTCACTTCCCCCATCAGGGAGCCAGCTTACTGTACTAGCAGAACAGGTCAAACAGAGCTCGATCCTGGACAAATCAGTGCTTGAGGAAACTTTAACAAAACCAAGGAAAAATGTGGTACAAGAACAATGAAGAAGGAGTCTGTTCCAGGCAGTTTAGTCTTGTACAAGTAGAAGAAGGTCATCAAGTCGGTTTTAAAGTTGGATGCAATTTCAGGCATCATTCCAATCTCTTCACTTTACAAGCAATAAGTTCTGAAGCCCAGAGTTTAAAAGACTTGTTCAAGGTCACATTGGAAGCAAAGCTGCAGCTAGAACCCTGGTGTCCAAACTCCCAGGCCAAACCTCCTACTACTATGCTACATCATACTACCACTAGAAGATTTGAAAAAGAAAAGTCTGAAGAGTGATTTTCCCATAAATTAAATCAGCTTTAAATCTAGGCATATTTGGAGAATCACAGACTTCTAACACTGTTAGAGAAAAGACAGATTTAAAAGCTGGTTAAATCTAAACAATTAAAAAAAATCCATATGTACAATATTATAAAAAAGAGAAGGAAGAAGATGGCATTCATGATTACTGGGGCGGCAGGGCAGGGGGCAGTTGCATGCTGGGGCTGGGCTGCATGGGCTGCCAGCTTTCCTGGGTTTGAAGGATGCGGTACAGCTGCTTCAGCTGAGCAACAATGTTATCTTTGATGTCTGGGGTTGAGATCTGCAGGCGGACACTGCCACTATCAAAGGATCGTGTGAAATCACCAGAAAACATCTCGTAGATCATCCGAGCCACTACTGGAATCACCTGTTTGGGACACAGAACATAGGTGTAACCTTAGAGGAAAAGGTATTTGTAAATAGCACGATGGACCCAAGATTGAAGGACAGACCAAAGAGGCCCTGAGGAAGCTCCTCATTCTAATATCTAAATATAGGATATGCCTTCCTCTCTTTGGACCATCCTCCTGCCAAGGCTCACTCTGGAAGTTGGTTCAAATGAAGGTAGAGAACCTAGATGTAGCATTACATCACATGCCTAAATAAATGACTGCTTACTTTGCTAGACTGTTAACAAAATGTCATCTATTGCTTGCCTTGCTACACAACTCCAGGGGCCAAGCCCAAGTGGCCTTGCTGCCACTTCCTAGATCAAATTTATATTACTAAAAGCAACTCAAAAAGTTTATCTAAGAAAAGCTGGAAAGGGCCAAGCATGGTAGCTCACACCCATAATAATCCCAGCATTTTGCGAGGCTGAGGCGGGAGGATAACTTAAGCCCAGAAGTTCAAGACCGGCATGGGCAACATAGTAAGATCTCGTCTTTGCTAAAAATAAAATTAGGCCAGGCATGGTGGCCTGTGCCTGCAGTCCCAGCTACTTGGGAGGCTGAGGTGGGAGGATTGCTCAAGCCTGGGAGGTTGAGGCTCCAGTGGGCCGATATGGCACTACCGCACTCTAGCCTGGGCAACAGAGCAAGACCATGTCTCAAAAAAAAAAAAAAAAAAAAAAGTGCAATTTACATTGTGTGTGTATATAAATAAAAAAAAGCTGGAAAGAATTATATCCTGTGAGGTTTCAGCAAGACTCTAAGGTCAGTAAAAGAAGGAAAGAGAAGATTTCCACTAAATCAGTCACCCACTTTAAGGACCTTGCCTTTTCCAGCATGGCCCTATTGCACAAACCTGAGTCTGTTATCCCATCTGATGAGATTAAAACCTACATGGGCTGATGGATGCTTGATGAAGGCTTAACCCAGACTGGGGGCTAAGGCACTGGCAGGAAGGAAAAGAGTTGTTGACACAGCCTTATCTTCTCACCTG